TACCATCATCTTCTTTCCCCACTCTTTCTTTCCCCTTTTGCTCTCTTTCACTCCTCTTCCTCCTGATGGCACCTCCTTCTCTCTCCTACCCCCTTTCCCCCAGCCAGCAGCCAGTTGAAAGTGGAACACATTACTAGTGCCAGTGGTCTGAACTGATTGTTTGCATTGTTTGCAATTGACTTTTTAAATTAAAGTAAGGTGTAAATGAAATTGGCTGAAGGTTGCAGGTTGCCCACCCTTGGCTCTCTGGGGACGGCACTGTTTGCAAAAGCAATATTACATAAAAATATTTTCTGACACTTTAGAGCTTATAGCTTTCATATTGGATTTTTCCTACAGTCACAAACAAATCTTCTCAACCTCATAAAAAAGACTGGAAATTATTTTTCTAGCTCTTTAAAACTTTATGCTAGAATTTAAAACTTTATGCTAGAAAATGTGGTTGGGGGTTTTAAAAATACCAATTGACTATTTGGAAGGCTGCATTGTTATAAATATTTAAATATATTTATTATGCAGTTATTTTTGCATAAACCTGCTCCAAAATGCAGGCCGTGTCGCGTTTGCGCATGCGCAAATCCTGCGCATGCGCAAACGCGATGCGGCCTGCATTTTGGAGACCAAAATGCAGGCCGTGTCCCGCTCTGCCGAAAGCGGGCTCAGCGGCAGCAGCGGAAGCGGCGGTCACGGAGGAGGAGGAGGAGGAGGCAGAAGCGGCGGTCGTGGAGGAGGAGGAGGAGGAGGATGAGGAGCCAGCGGCGGTGGCGGAGGAGGAGGAGGAGCCAGCGGCAGCAGAGGAGGAGGAGGAGCCAGCGGCGGCGGCGGCGGCAGGGGTCCGCCTGGCTCGGTAAGGGGATTTGTAGGGAGCGCGCGCAAGCGCGCACACACCGCCATTCCCCCCCCCTTGGCCCAGCCGAGACCTGGGCTAGTGGAGACCGGCCCAGGTCTCAAAAAGGTTGCCGGTCCCTGAACTAGATTGAATGGCATATGGAAAAGGCACTTTCTTAAAATATACTAATACACACAATATTTAAAAATACTGTCTATTATGATAATATATTAAACTAGACATATGTGTACAACACTTCAGCAGTGCCTTGTATTTCACTTAGTTTTGTCACATCAATAAGATTGACACCTAGAATACATAAAAATCAATAATCATCATATAGACAGACAGCTTTTATATTCTGTCTCTTCTAAAAAAGATGATGACAGATCGAATATGAAAAAGTATTTTTTTTTTCCCATAGCAATTCCAACAATCCAGAAAAAAAGAAAGAATTTTATCTAAAGAAAAGTTCGGTATTTCAGTAATTTCTTTGTTATTTCACATGGACAGAGATATGAATTTGGATAGATTCACATTTGCTTGATAAAACAAGTGCCATCAACATTCAGTGTAGCTTCATCCTTTCGGCTGTAGAATGGGTTACCATTCACCTGCTTTCATAAAGAGACATAAAGAGAAATTTGATTTGAAATGATGTTATTTTAATTGTTGGTTTTAATCTGTGCTTAGTTTAATACTTTTTTAAGGGGAGGTGGGAGAGGGTGGGGGTTTGGGGGTCTTATTCTGTATTTTTGTATTTTCTCTCTTATAAGCCGCCCCAATTGTTTTAACAGAGGGGCGGGGTAGAAATAAAAATTATTATTATTATTCTATGATTGGAAATTGATCAGTTTATTGGAACTGGAGGAGAGGGGTAATCTTAGGGGGGTTGCAGACTGCCAGAAATAGTGCAAATTGAGTCCACTTTAAGGGTTAGGGTTAGTGCTAGGGAGTCATGGCAATTGTTTTTTTTTCTTCCTGAGACATTGAGCCTTCTCTGTCAGAGAGCTCTGGTGCCACAATAAAACACAGTTCCCATGATTCCCTAACCCTAACCCTAACCCTAACCCTAAAAGTGGACTCAATTTGCACTATTTCTGGCAGTCTGCAACCCCCCTTGGATAATTTAAAAGAAATGCACCCATAATCTTCAACTCAAGCAGATGAAATGACTGGATATTGGCATACTCAATCTATTGGTGCACAGAAGAAGTCACTGTGATGCTTATTCTCAAGTGTGATGCCAAATTGTCAAGTGATGAACCCTATATGAATGTTCTACTTCACCTTGTGTACATTTAGCACAAATCTATCAGTTATCTCAGTTAGATAGTTGACATAGGCTACATTCCAATAATAATCTTTGCTTCCAGGTTGTTTCCACTGAATAAGAAGATACCAAATCTGACCAACAAAGAATGGGTTTCAAACTAGCACCTAAGGAATTTCTCAGACCCATAGCAGACCTATCAATCATGAGACTATAGTAACAAATGGCTACAAGCAAGATTAGTGCCTGAAGCAGAGCAAATTAGTTGTTCAGGATAAGGATCCAAATGAATGTGGAATGGATGTGAATGACAGAAAAGCAGTGAAGAGTGAAAGCAAGAATGAATAAGTGGAATGGGACAGATAGCACCAAATCGCTAACATCTCTCTCACACACACATGGGGCTACACAGTACAGCAATTACAAATACAAATCCAAAGCTTAGAACAAATATTAATATTTTACTTGTGATGCAATGTATAGAGCAGAGGTAGGCAACCTAAGGCCCGGGGGCCAGATGTGGCCCTCCGTGGCCTTTGGACTGGCCCCAGGCCGGTCCTGCCACCGCCTCCCGCCACCGCCTGCCATGATGATATTGATTATTTTAGTTATAACTTGTTCTTGGTGTTTTCTTGGCAAAATCTCCACAGGGGTTTTGCCATGGCTTTTCTGGGGCTAATAGAGTGTGCATGCATATTTTTAAAATTTATTTATTTTTTAATTTTAATTTTAATTTTTATTTATTTATTTATTAATTTTTGGTGCTTTGGCCCCCCAATTGTCTGAGGGACAGCAACCCGGCACCGGGCTCAAAAAGGTTGCCTACCCCTGGTATGGAGCATATGCAGAAAACCAAATGTGCTTTTAGAATTCACATTTTGGCTGCATGGTAACTGATTGTATACATACAAATTCACATTAGGGATGCACATGACTGCATAACCATTTTGCAATTATATTAACTGAAACGTGACAGTTAATATAATTACCTAAAATAAAATGATTGTAAATGTCCCCAGACTAACAAGAATGACTCTTTCAGGGCTTCAAGTGATATAGCCCACTAGCCTGGGGTTGCTGGTCAAGGGGAAAAGAGGCAGGAAAAGAAAAGGACACTGCTAGTGCTAAATCAAAGGAAATTTAAGAGAAGTTTTAAAAAAGAATTTCTTTACTCTCCTCATACATGTTTATTAGGATATGGAAGAATTTTTTTTATAAAACCTAGAATCATAAATTGGAAAGGGTCACAGGTTCATGTTGTCAAGCTAAAGCACTTCTGAAAGATACCAATTCAACCTCTCTTTAAAAACCTCTAAAGATGGAGAGTCCACCACTGTCTGAGGCAGTCTATTTCACTGTCAAACCCTTCTTATGGTAAAGAAGTTCTTCCTAATATATAGGTGGAATTCTTTTCATGTAATTTTAATCCAATGATTCATATTCTAGTCTCTGGAGAGGCAGAAAACGAGCTCACTTCATCCTCTACTTGACATCACTTCAAGTATTTAAAGATGGCTATCCTATCACCTATCCAGCTTCCTTATCCAAGCTAACCATACCCTGCAACCTAAGGAATTCATAACCAGGCATTACTTCCAGACCTTTCACCATCTTGATTGCCCTCCACTAGACACATTCCAGCATGTCAATATTCTTCTTGCACTGTTGTGCCTGGAATTGGACACAGCATTCAAGGTGAGGTGTGACCAAAGGAGAATGGAGTGGTGCTATGACTTCCCTTGGTCTGGATGCTATACTCCTGTTAATGCAGCCTAGAATTTCATTGGCTTTTTCTGGCTCCTGCATTGCACTGCTGCTGACCTATATCTAGCTAGTGCTCTGCTAATTCTTTAGATACTTTTGATTTGTGCTGCTTTCAAGCCAGGTGTCACCCATCATGTATGTATTTCTGCTTTCTGTCTGAATGGAGTGCCTTACATTTATCTTTGTAGAAGTTCATTTTGTGTGTTTGGACCAGATCTCCAGTCTGTTAAGGTTATTTTGAATCATGTACAAAGCCCCCTGAAGTATTACCGGTAGCTACCCCTTCTAATTTGGTGTCATTTGCAAATTTGAAAACCATGCCCTCTATTCCATTGTCCAAGTCATTTATAAAGATATAACAACAGTGGGGCCAGGACAAAACCCTGTGATGTGCCACTAGTCACTCCTTTTCAGGATGAAGAGGAACCATCAGTGAGCACTTTTTGGACTGGGTCCATCAACCTTTACAAATCCATTTAATAGTGGCAGTAAAGGTGACTTTAATAGCTTATCTGCAAGTTGGTCATGGTGAACATTGTCAAAAGCCTTTCTGAAATCTAAATATACTGCATCCACAGCATACCCCAATCTACCAAGCTTGTGTAACTATAAAGAGACATATAAGATTTGTCTGGCTGACTTGCTTTTCAGAAGCCATGCTGGCTTCTAGTAATCACAACATTTCTTTCTCTGTCTGCACAGACTCACTATTATCTGTTCTCAAACTTTTCCTGGTATTAACATCAGGCTGACTGATTGGTAGTTGCTCAGCTCAATTTTTTTTTTTTTTTTTGCTCTTTTT